TTCGTTCTCCGCTTCAGATTCGCCAGAGTATTTTTTTATTTTCCGACGAGCAACCAAGGAGAGAGGAAGAGAAAAGAGGTACGCGCACGCGAGCTGCGAGTGAGTCGCGAGTGGTATCAAGAGGAACGCGGGGGACAGGGGCAGAGAGGAGTGAAGGAACGGAAGCGGAAGCGGGATAGAAGACCGGGAGGCGAGGAAAGAAGTTAAGGGATGGAAATAAACCGGCTGGACACGATCAAAGAGAGCCGGTAAGAAAGTTCTCTCGCCACGTTCTCCGCACGCGAACTTCCTCGCCGCGCTCGTGCGGCAAGCGTTTCTCTTTGACACGGAACGCTCGGGGAAAACAAAGAGGAGGACGTGCTTTCGGACACTCTGACGAGCTTAATCAAGCAATCAGAAGGCACGTGCGCCAGGATGAACGTGTTCGTCGAGCTGTCACTGTAGAGGTCGCGGTTTAGTCGATGACTGCTGGGTGAACGAAACGCTAGCCGGATCGACGACCAAATAAGAGAAGAGGAAGTTCGACGATGGACGGTTGAGACCAAGCTGCGATTCGCAGCAGCTGGGCCTAGACGTGCCGTACTCTGATTACGTTAAGCTTTTATTTATCCAGTAGATACTCTGTCCGGGTGTTCGTCATCTTGGTAGAAGTCTCCCGGAAGAATGCGTGTCTCGCGTGTCGCGTGGAACAGGGAACATAAAACTGATTCAATTTAGTAGAAGAGAGCCTCGAATAGACAAGAACATTCGCGTAGAGACTGCCACAGGCGGTCTACGTAAGTTCTGGATGTTGAATCCTATTTGGAGCTTCGTTACGAAGCAGCAAAGATGACGAGGGAGGAAATAAAAATAGCAATCGTGACACATGAACGAATCGGATCCAATCGAATCGTTCGATCACAAGTGTGGTCACGAGGTGTGTTCATCTGTCAAGGATTGACACGCAAACGTGTCCAACGTTTGCATACTCACCCGGTTGAAGCGCGGGTGCAATTCGAAGGCTGGAGATGAAACCCGATTTCTTGCTGGAACCTGGCAAGAAGGAAATGGGAAAGTGTACCAAGAAAGGAGGAAACGAAGACGGAGAGCAGCTGTTGACGAAAGGTGAACCTTTGACTAGTCAACGCTTGCCATTTCTGCTTTCGAAGCACATATCCGTTGACTCCTGATGGAGAGAGAATCGGGATATTATGCAAACCCGGGTTCTCCTAACGAATATTAGATGCGATTCCTTCGAGTGACGAGGATTCCGAGATCGATTCTCGCCTGGAGGGCCGAGTACCTCGGAAGAATCTTAATCTCGCGGGGAGCCTGATGAAGCTGCGGGAAATCAAGCGGAAATGTCGGAGCATGGTCGCTCGATCTGTCGGAAGACTGACGGTGTAATTTAGTCTTTTCTAGCTTTTGTATAAAACAATTCGCGAAACGTGCCGGATTGACTGACTTGTTTTCTACTTCCCGATTTTCCGTGCGTCGATAATTTCCGTGTTCCGTCATGGTGGACACCGGAAAAGTGATTCAGGGACCCTCGCTTTCATTTCTTTCCACATGACCCGTCAAACAACGAACAACGTTGTGCCGGAACTAATCAATGAGCGTAGCTTTTATAACAAACGCACATCGCCGAACTTCACGCTGCATAAACCGTCGAGATAGAGAGACTCGAAGGACGATTAAATAGTCGAATCACGAGTTCGTATCTCTGAGATTACTAGCCGTAGTACCTTCGCCGAAAGTAGCAGGTAATAGCGCGATACTCCGGCTGATAGATATACCGACGATAGAGCATCAGGAACTCGTAGGCGAAACGAAGAATAAGTATTGGAGGAGTGGCGCGAGTCGACAGCCGTGGGATACGCTGGCGTCAAAGAAAATCGACGAACGAAGCTATCGTTACAACGAGCACTCCGTCTTGCCTTCTGAGGAGAGCGGAACCCTTGTTACAACGAGCATCTCGTGTACAGTGCTAGGCAAACGTTCGAGGAACGAGCTGAATTGTTAGTCATTGAAACAGTTGAAGCAGGAAGAGTCGGAGACGAAGAAGAAGAAGAAGAAGACATGTCTTGCTAGAGCGAAACGAAAAATGACGAGGACTCGTGAAGAGAGACTCGGGGATGAATGGGACGAAAAGAGAGAGATCGTGAACTGATGAAAACTCGATGAGAGTTCGTTTAGGCCGCGACTCGCAGTCGTTAGAAGCTGTCTCGGTTGGCTGAGCGCGACAAGGATGATCAGACTGGCTGGAATCTCGTCCCAGCGATATTTTCCATCGGTGGAACCACTGGATAGACCAGAGGAATCGTGCTGTTTCAGATGCAGAACGTTCTCTGCTCGCTCGATCGCTTATGCAGTCGACACGCCGCGGGTGGTGTAATCGAAAGGCGGAAAGTGACAAGGAACTGATAGTCTGCAGTTGCGTACGGTACTATTTCTATGGAGATATTCCACCGAGATCCCAGTCCTCCGAGGAGATTCCCGTGTCACGGAAATATCACCACCTAGAGCCTGTTAATACGAAGCCTCTGAGAGCAACCACGTAGCTACTTTCCTGGGAAACCCCGCGATCTTCGTGTAAATTATTCCTGTCCTTTGGTGATATTGATTCTCGTCTCCCACGAGAACACCGAGATCTATTCAAACGTTTATTCTTCGACGTTGTTCTCCTCACATTTCGAGATCTATCAGAGGGATCAAAGACATAGGACAGTTCACAAATACCTCGCTGTTTCGTGAAATCCCATTCGACGGGATTATACAACCTATTTCACTCTGTGCAGACATGTCTCGTTGGCCTAGTATTTTCATTATTTAACAGATAAAATCGCTCGATCGATTGATATCTACGAAAGCTGTTCATTTCCAGAAGAAATTTGTTTAGAGGATGAGTTAGCGAAATCATTATTTTGCTCCTCTTGGAGATTCCGACAGGTAGTCATCTCTCGAACACCTGCAATATTATCGTTGGTCCAGGAAATACCCGAAGAGGCTGCCGTGTCAAAACGAAGCATCGTTATTCTGTATGCACCCGATCGAGGAGCGTATCGTGGCTCACAAGTGAACTGGAACGGAAGAGGAAGAAAGAAGCGACGTACCTTTTGGAAGGCTGGAAGCTGGAAGAGGACGCTGTTCTTCCGCTACGTGCCTCGGCTATCGCTGTAAACAGGGGAAGATAGCGGGCCGGGTGTTGGAGGGGTCGATTCTCGAGCTGAAAGGGAATTACTTCCAACGTGGTGGCTCAGCACAAGTTTCATCGGGGAATTCTCGGGTGTCGGAGCCGACTAGCTTTTGGCCTATCTGCCGACCGTGTCTTTTGGATTCTGATTTTAGACGGAACCGTGTAATTCCGCGATGCGAATAACAATACGCGATATAATTTTTAAAGAAATTCCGAGAATTCGACGAATTCGAGGCAAGCTTGGTTCTACTGGAGAAAAAAAGCTGCCTGTACATTATTCCCATTTCAGTTTCTCTAATTTACGAATACCTATCTATGCTTTCAAAGTACCTCAAAGCAAGTCGAGAGTATTCGGAAGAGGGAATCCTAAAATTAAGTAGAATATCGTGCAGAAGATCCACAAAGAGAAGACTGTAATCCTAAGTATTATTTATCCGAGTGGAACAGTTAATTCTCGATTCCATTTTGTCAAATAATTCACCGCTATCTGTCGATCCGTCGAAAACGCTGGATTGGGAAGAAAGTGCTCGAGGAGGAACAATATCACGGAGAAAGCTGATCGATACCGAGAAGCCAGTGATCAATCTCCCGAATGTTCTGGAACAAATTGTCGTTGTACCTCGCAGTTCACTTATTTCACCAACGAGACAAGCCATGTGAGAAAGAAAGGAATGAACACCGTTGCTTTAAACGCACTTCGTTATACGGCACATTTCTGTCGTGTTGACAAGATAGGCGAGAAATGATGGAGCAATAAGTTATTGCATCGATTTCGCTGTTTGAAACGATATTACATTGGCTGGATGAAAAATGGAGGAGCAGGGTGCGCAGGTGTATCGAAAAATTGCATGACATTGTCTCGCTGCATTAAAGATACCTTTGTCCTTCTCAAAATGGCTGTCTCGAGGGTGTCTCAGTTGATCGTAAAACACAGGGAACAGGCTACCAGTGGCATTGTTCAACTTAATTTCGCATAACGTGTCTGCCGCTGGCTGGAAACTTGGCTCGCGAGGAAACACGGGGCTGTCCTGAAGGAAGCAGCTGTTGTTGCAAATTTAAAAGGGTAGGAGGATGCGAAATCGGACCGGTTCTCAAATTATTCGCGGCTGCAGCTAGCCTGGCAAGTTTGGGGTGGCTGCACCGGGGATAAGAGACCTCCTCTCCCTGGAGGAGAAAAATGATGGTCGGGACGAGAGTTCCTCGTGGACGATAGCGACGAATACGCGAATGATCCGGAATCGGGGAAGGAAAAGGTCGGAAACGGACACGTTGTAATGGAAAAGAGGAGAGGAAATGGATCGGGTGTCAGCTGCTTCGACGAGGTCTGATTTTCGTGCACGTACCGTTCCTCTGGTTCGACTCGAAACGCGCTCTAAATAGCAAGCGGGACGCGGACTCGAGAAAAATCACTTTCGTCGTCACGCCACACGTGACTGCGCCTCGCGGAAAATCACCACCGGAAGGGAATTCCGTTCTTTTGCTACGTGTCGTTTTTTTATCCCGAACCTCACGTGGTTACAGCTTGGGAAAAATTGCTCCCCGAGACGCACCCTAAACGGGGAGGCAGTGTCGCGCTTGTTTCGCGAGAAATATCGTTCGGATGATGTTTCTCTAATCGCGCGTGGAATAACCTGTCGTAGCGGTGAAATCGAGGAAAGGAAAGGCAAGGAAATTGAATTTTTCTTTTTCCATTTTTTTTAATTTTTTTTATTTTTTTTAATCTTTTTTTATATTTTTAAATCCCATATCGGTTTTTCTATATATGGAGCGCGTGTGGATTATTTTTTGACGATGGGCCGTTAATTGACCGGCTGTCAGATTCAGTTTGCAGAATGAACGGTATGTACAACATATATCGTGACGTTGATAATTGATTACGGATTTACAGTGATAATTTTATTATATTTATTATATTGTTGCGCCGATGCGAATCGATGTTCGCATAGGAGATGAATATGTAGCACTGGAAATTTTCTAACAAATCCTTTCCATTCAGAAGGTACACATTCAGAAAACTTGTCCGATGTATCACGCTCGTGCAGTATTTTTAATTTTAACAGTAGTAAACAATAATTATCGTATCAAATGTAAAATATGAATTGATACGAAGTGATTGTGATTATTTCTTTTTAAATTTCACAATTTCGTGGCTTCGTGATTATGATATTTTGGAACAGGGATCATTATTAATAGTTACAGAGACTGGTTAAAACTATATATTTCCCTTTGTTGAAGATAGCTTCTACCTTTCACTATAGTATTTCATATTCTTCCATTCTTATACCTAATTATTCCTGTATTATATTGTATTTTGCGTATCTTATTAGCTTCGTATTCTTCTATTCGAATTCATAAGTATACTCTGAGCTAGATACGATTTTTCCATTTTCCTAGCACTCTTAGTAGATATCTAACATAGAAACAGCAGTGTTCCCATATGATACCTTTCATTATGTGCTTTTACCTCAATAATTAACCCATTCAGGTAATCTAAAATCGTCAAATCTTAAACAAATCTTTGCCAAAAATTGCTCGGGAGTTCACAAGTGAAATTTTCTTCAAGATCCACAGTAGGGTATATTCACGTTATATGAAAATTTATAGTTAATTATTTTCATGCCTCAGTGATAGCTACGTGTAGTTTCTTCGTCTCTATT